ATTTCTTCATCCAGTCAGCGTTTTTAGTTGGAATTCTGTGAAACATGGTATTACCTCCCCTGTTTACTGTCGCAGCTATTTACAATAGAGCGAAAACCCATGACTCTAAACTACGCTTTTACTATTTATAAATTGCTGACTCTATTACCCAAACACCGAGCGAACTCTCCGCTCCTCACCACGGCGTGTCTCCGTGATGCGGTTATTACGCCGTCAAAGTAGCAGTGCTTCGCCTTCAGAGAATAGTTCCCAGGTTTTATACGGTTAAAAGATGTCTGTGTCTCATTTGACTTTGTTATTTGTACATTATGTGACTATACAAATCACAACATGTAAATAGGAAAACGTTTGCGTTATTTTGCCACTCATTTGGATCAGTATGAAAGCTGCAACCAGTCACATCGAGTCTTTGTGCTAAGCTAGGCTAGCGGTGGGTGCGTCAAACAGACTTATAGCACGCACGGAGATGAAAAAGGTATGTATGGACTTATCTAACTCTGGGGGGTAAGGTGAATAGGCTAAAGTCCCAAAAAGTCGGAGTGTTCCTTTAAGGTAAAGAAAAAAAAAAATATCTAAGTTTTAAAAGTTACATTATTAATTGTGCTCTTAAAAAATTACAACATGTTTTGATGGCATTTTTTTTTCGATCTTATGAAAGTTTCAGCATTAACTATATGTTATTAAAATAATAGTTGTATTTGTTAACAGTTAATTCACTGTGAACAAACATGAACAAACAACTGTATCTTTATCATTAACAACAATTAATATTGTAACAATACTTTTTGTCAAGAATTTAATCTTTTTAAATTATTTTTCAAAATAATGATTTTAGAACAGTTGACATATTGTATTCTACTTTATGCCCCCCAAATTGAGAATTTGAATTCAGAAAATAAAAACGTGTTCATTATAGAAGATGTGTATTTAAGTCATCGTACAGTATGTATGAATGGCATTTTGGTAACACTTTATTTGAAGGGGTGTGCATAAGACTGACAGGGCACTGTCATAAACATGACATAACACCTGTCATGAACATGAAGAAGTCTGAATGTTTATGACTTTTGTCATTAAGTGTCATTCAGTAAATTATGACACTTTTATTGCAAAGTTGACATTGTTTAAAATGTCTTTGTTATGACAACTTGACATTAACCAAGACAAAAATGTCTGATTATGGCAACTTGACATTAACCAAGACAGAAATGTCTTTGTTATGACAACTTGACATTAACCAAAAAATCATAACCTGTCACAAATATGTCATAACAGGTCTAATTATCAAACTTAAAGAAGTTATTTAGCTTTGAGTTAACATTACATTACCATGTCATATGTTATGGTTGGTTTTGACTTTGGCCGTCATGACACCATTATAACTTTGTCATGAATATTTTACTTGGCCTCAAGTAAAGTGGAACACATCGTACTAGTTATAAAGATGTCATTAAGGGTTATTACACTGTCAAATGCTTTAACAACAGTGTCATTAATATCTCCCCTTACCTCAAATAAAGTGGAACACGTTGGACTAGTTATAAAGATTGACAGGTTATTTCTTGTCAAGTTGTCATAACAAAGACATTTCTGTCTTTGATAATGTCAAGTTGTCATAATCAAGACATTTTTTGTCTTTGTCAATGTCAAGTTGTCATAACAAAGACATTTTAAACAATGTCAACTTTGCATTAAAAGTGTCATAATTTACACTTGACACGTAATGACAAAAGTCATAAACATTCATAAAGACGCCTTCATATTCATGGTTATTATGTCATGTTTATGACAGTGTCATGTCAGTCTTATGCACACCCCTTCAAATAAAGTGTTGCCGGCATTTTTTATATATTAATATAGAATATATATTAATATCCAGACAAAATGAGTCACAGTGACGCTCGATCAGCACCCAGAGGCAAATGAAGAAGAGATTTGTATTCAAGCCCTTTCACATTGATTTATTACCCTGAGCACATTTGTTTTACATAATTCTGAAACTCACAAGCCTTGGACTGCATTCTGACAAATGACAACGATCACTGGAAACAAACGTATAATATAAATACAGTCATTTTCATTTATTCACTTTCCTCAATTTTAAAATGTTGCCACATATAACAGGTCCGTATGATTGATGTCCTTTTCAACACTGTCATCAATTCGGCCAATAGTTTTGCTATCGTTTTGCACATGATTAATGTTTACACATGTAGTTAAGGTCAGTGACCGGATCATGACAAATGACTTGCCTCAATGGCACTCGGCGTTGTGACCACATCACGTCTGCATCCCAAACACATTACATTAAAATCTTAAGTATGAGGAGTCATTTCTCAAGTTCCCCAGCAGTGACCTGAATGAATTCATCATTCACTTGTCTCCTCTATACTCTCTGATTTGACTCTTTGTGACAGTTTTTGTCTTGCTACTTGGAACATCGTACTCACCCACACCATTAGATTTTCACCAGTGGTATGCATTCATTCATTGAGAACTGAAAGCACAGCAGGTTGAATCATGGCCAGAATTGTTCTGTTTCCAGCGACGTCAGAGGCACTGGCACTGAGCCATGCAACGCCTGATTACATTTTCCAAGAGCAGATCACAGCTCCTTCATTGGTTACAGCAGAAAATTCAGTTTGAATAGATCAGAAATGAATCACATGGCAGTTTGATCAGACACTCTTGCTTTACATTGAAATGCACGCCAACACAAAAGTCTGGAGGCTTATGACAAGTATCTTGCAAATATAAGGAATGATTTACATTCCTTCAGCAAAAGGAAACGGTGACAGAATCATTGATGATTTTAATGTGTCAAGAGTCAAGACAACAACTGATGCACAAAAATAATTTTCTTTTTTTGTCATTTTTTGTCTTATTTTCCAGTACAAATATCTAAGCATTCCTAAATCAAAATCCAGTTACTTGAGAAGAAAAAAAAAAAATCATTTTGAAACATTTTTTTTAGCTAAATTAAGTGAGTTAAACGCTTAAAACAAGAACAAATGTGGGGTCAGATTTATTATTATTATTATTATTATTATTTGCAGTTTAATAAAAATAATTGAAAACAAGAAAACAATTAAATCAAAAAAGCAATTGCGTTATTAATCTACACCATAATGACATCTCCACAATGTAAAAAGCCCTCTGAAGGATAGACCGTTTTAGTCCATATCCAAAAGTTAACTCTGAACACAGATTGCTTTACTCCTTGTTGAAAAGTGCATTTATAAAATCAAAATTAGTCAGTCAAAATTACGTTTGAAACAATTGTACTCACTATTATAGCCAACACTAACAATAACAATATTCACGGAGCCTGAAATATTGACAGTTTACAGCACTGCTTTTGCAAATACATCATTAGAAATACACATCTTAACAATTTTACAGTAAGTACTCCTTTTTTCATGTTTAGTTAACAGTGAGATAAAAATGACTCTTTCCTTGAGACATTTTTCTTCACGAAATGTGCAATTGGCAAACCTTGAAATAATATGTGACTGACCAAGAGAGTTGTCAGAAAAAAAGACAAAAACATCTGTGATTGCAAGGTGACTCTATCACACATTCCTTCGGTTAACTTTCAATCTCACTATACAGTGGTGATGCTGCCTTAATCATGTTGAGATTGTATTGGTTTACGTGTTGTCTGCTGTCAAGAAGAGGGCAGGATTAACATATTCATTTCCCATCTGCTATGATAATCAAAACAAAATTACTGCCGATAGATTTAATCAACTGTCGACAACAGACTCTAGAATTACTTGAAGACAAATCCTCTGTATGTTGGTATTTTTGAACGCCTTTAATGGTTCAAATAAGTAACCCAACAAACTCCTGTCACAGAATTTGAATGAAAAATACTATAGTCTAGGAAATGGAAATATTTTGCAGAGAAAATAATTTTCTGCTGACATTCACATTGAATGTAGGACATTCATTCATTCAGGTTGAAAGAAAAAAAAAACTGGGATAAACACTGGCATTTATTCTGGAAATTCAAAAAGTAAACTGTAAATAAGTAAAAAGATACAAAATAAGTAAAAAGTCTCACTGAAACTTTCAAAACATTCTTACAAGTTTGAATATACACTCACCTAAAGGATTATTACTGTATGAACATCATACTAATACCGTGTTTGACCCCTTTTCGGCCTTAATTCTACGTGGCATTGATTCAACAAGGTGCTGAAAGCATTCTTTAGAAATGTTGGCCCATATTGACAGGATAGCATCTTTCAGTTGATAGAGATTTGTGGGATGCACATCCAGGGCACAAAGCTCCCGTTCCACCACATCCCAAAGATGCTCTATTGGGTTGCGATCTGGTGACTGTGGGGGCCATTTTAGTACAGTGAACTCATAGTCATGTTCAATAAACCAATTTGAAATGATTCAAGCCTTGTGACATGGTGCATTATCCTGCTGGAAGTAGCCATCAGAGGATGGGTACATAGGGGCCATAAAGGGATGGACATGGTCAGTAACAATGCTCAGGTAGGCCGTGGCATTTAAACAATGCCCAATTGGCACTAAGGGGCCTAAAGTGTGCCAATAAAACATCCTCCACACCATTACACCACCACCAGCAGCAGCCTTTACAGTGGTGACAAGGCATGATGGATCCATCTTCTCACATGGTTTACACCAAATTCTGACTCTAAATGTCTCAACAGAAATCAAGACTCATCAGACCAGGCAACATTTTTCCAATGTTGTTCAAAACTGTCCAATTTTGGTGAGCTCTTGCAAATTGTAGCACCTTTTTCTTATTTGTAGTGGAGATGAGTGGTACCCAGTGGGGTCTTCTGCTGTTGTAGTCCATCCACCTCAAGGTTGTGCGTGTTTTGCTGAATACCTCGGTTGTAACGAGTGGTTATTTCAGTCAAAGTTGCTATTCTATGAGCTCGAATCAGTCGGCCCATTCTCCTCTGACCTCTAGCATCAACAGGACTGCCGCATACTGGATATTTTTTTATTTATAGCATTCTTTGTAAACCCTAGAAATGGTTGTGCATGAAAATCCCAGTAACTGAGCATATTGTGAAATACTCAGACCCGCCCGTCTGACATGAACAACCATCCCACTCAAAATTGCTTAAATCACCTTTCTTTCCCATTCCCATTCCCATTTAGTTTGGATTTCAGGAGAATGTCTTGACCAGGACCACACCCCTAAATGCATTGAAACAACTGTCATGTGATTGGTTGATTAGATAATTGTATTAATAAGAAATTAAAGAGGTGTTCCCATTAATCCTTTAGGTGAGCGTGTGCTTACTAAACCCATTTATTAAAACTGATCTGCAAAAACAGCTTGTTCTGTTCTTCTAAATCACTGTGAATAAAAAGTACAAAGTACAGGCAAACAATTATACACAAACTTTGTGTTTGTCCTGGCTTTTGCTCCGCATGTGAGGTTTATCTTTAAAAGATTCCAGTCTGACTTTAACAGTTTCACTACAGAATAATTTGTGAAGCTGTCACAAGATAACGTAGGCTGGAGGAAGGGGTAGTAAAACTACACTAAAAAACCCGAAAGGAAAGTAAGTGGTTTATTCCACATGCAAACAGAGAGAGTTGAAAATGGTAATGAAAAATTAAAAGATGGTTTTGGCACATACAGTAAAAAGCATGGTTGAAGAGTGAACTAGCTTTAGGCCAGTGAATCACAGTGCTACGTACATCCAGCCTCATGAGCATCAAATAATTTTGCCTAAAACCTACTTCTGTCTGTCAAACAATTTGACAAAAGTCAACACTGATGAACAGGGAAACCAGTGTGAGTTATTTACTACATGTTCTGTACAGTGAACAATCAGATAAATCTCATTTTAAAAGGCTCTTTTGTGCCATTTGGCACAAATTAAAAAAAATAAAAATAAAAATATGGTATTAAAAAAAGAACTCCCTTCGAAATTTATTTCAGCATTAAGAGGGATTTGTCACACATGAGGTATGTTTAATTTTAGTATTATGATGTGCCTGTGCTGTTCTTAAAATCCCAGATTGTAATCCAGAAACAAATAATTATTTTAGATTGTGTCGTTGTATGCAGTTCTTGATACTTTCAGATTGCATATAAACTTAAAATTATGTAGTGTTAAATCCCAGATGTTTACATCAGTATACAGTAGTGAATACACAACATGATTCTGTTTATACATAATTTTACATCTTAGTTTAACTAAATATGTCTTTACAAATTGCAGTTTACAAGACTACAGATGATAAACTCCCAGATGTGCCAGAAAGTACATTCATGTTAACAGCAAATGACTGTTCAAAACATAATTGTGTATAAAATGGATTTTACTCACATTTATAATCTTTTTGTTTTTTTTATGAAATAATAGTCTTTATTTTAAGAGGTAATGAGCCTGTTATTTAGCCTACATCATTGTCATCTAAAAACTGGCAGCCCATTATTATTCACTTAAAGAGAAGCTCCTTCCATGCTGCATTCAGACACTTTCTCTAAATCTTCCATCACTAAGTCTTGTTCGTTGACGTGGTTCATCCTCCTCGAGCTGTTGTTCTCCAAGCTATTAAGAGAGATGGGCTCTGTAGAGGGTTGCAGGTTTACTGGCTGCACAGAATTACCCTGCACCCTGTGAGAATAGGTCCGATGTTGACCACCGACAGGACACAGGCCAAACTTAAAGATGGCCTGAAATCCACGGCGGAAGTTCTCGTTGAAGAACCCGTAAATTATCGGGTTGACACTGCTGTTGAAAAAGGCTAGCCAGTGGGCGAAGGGATAGATGTAGATGTTAATAAGCCTGTACTGATGTTCAGTAAGTTTAACATAGTCTGTTAGCATCATCAGCGTCCACAGAGGCAACCAGGACAAGATGAAGAGCAAGGCCACGATGAGAAGCATTTTGATCACTCTTTGTTTTTTCTTCGACACAGAGTGACGGTTATCGTGGCCAGGTTTGGACCCTGCTGGCATAGCCGTTTTAAACAGAGTGATCCCAATCCTTGCGTACATGATCACTATGAGGGACAGAGGAGCTAGGTAAATGTTGGCAAACAGGACGGTTGTGTAGATCTTCCTCATCTCCTGGTTGGGCCAGTTTTCCCTGCACCAGTAGAAAGGACTCGTTCGGTTGCCATCTCCCAGGAACACACGGATGGTTTGTTCTTTAGTCACTTGAAGCATGACGCCAGAGGGGCACATGATGGACACTGCCAAGACCCAGATTATCACAATAATGAAGGTGGCTGTTGATATTGTCAGTTTCTGCTTAAAGGGATATACAATACATCTGAATCTGCAAAAGAAAGCAACACGTTAAACATGCAACAGCTCAATGGAGAAACATCTGTGTTTTTATCATGCAGTCACACTAATGACTCTAATGGCTATTAGAGTCATTAGTGTGAACAGGATGACAGTTTTTCAAAAGATCAAAATGAGTGTTTTGCCGTGAAATTGATGCATCAATGCATTACAGGCATACGTGGTTACAAAATTGCAGTGCTGGATAATAAGATGTAGTTGAGCTGTGATGTGTGGGCCTGCAATGATTTGAATTGTAACAGCTATGTAACTACGTATTAGTGGTGACCCACGATCTGCGTGATTTTCAGCTTATATATTTTTGCATTCTCAATGAATGGTGCTAGATAATATTATGCCTCATACTGTTGTTTTTGTGATCTTCAGATATGACTGTGTAAGCTGTGCAAGCGGTTGAAGGTTACTCCTCTTCAAGTCTGAACCAAATGGATTTGCTCAAATAAAGGCAGTAAATCAAGAGTATGGTCTCCAGTGTAGTAATTTCCACATAAAACTTTATATTGTGTTAAATAAATGTTAACTCTAAGAAGTGTTAAAGCTGCATTCGGCAAGTCTGGCAGATTGAGTGGACTTAGGCAAAATTTTGAATGTTTACAACTCATATGGCCCTCCCCCACTCAACAAATACCCTCCCACAGAGTTTGTGCTCGAGTGCGTGCGCACCAGGTTATCTGTGAACGCGACCGTCTCACCAGCATCCATCAACACCATGAATTATTTGGAGGTATGCTGCCCTGGCTAATCTACCAATATATTGCAATTGCTGACGTCATTTATACTCTAAATGAGCTTACTTGGTTTGTTAGTGTTCCGTCATTACTCATCCTTACTGCGTGAACTTCAGGCGTGTGCATGTGATTGTAACGTGCGCGAGGGATGGCGTGTGCCCGATCTGTGATTGACAGTCAGATCTCACACCCCCCTGCGCTGATTGCACCCGAGGATCTGGGAGCGCTTGATTTTTGCAAAACAAATAACACGCTCCAGATGGAGTTAGAAGCTCGGGTTTTTTCTAAAACCACTTATTTATGTTGCTCTGTCGGATTATAGTGTTGATTTCACTGAATATGATCAAAAAAATGTTGCCGACGGCAGCTTTAAACTAAATATTTTTTAAGTGTTACTTTTTAACACTGGTAATGAGTACATTTAATTAATTTTAGAGTTACATTTACTCTTCATAGGATTAGTATTTTAACTCCATAAAGAGTTACGTTTTAACTTTGAAAAAGTGTTGAAAATTCAACTCCAAGAGCAGAGTTATTTTATCACTTAGTTGATTTTAACAGGGATTTGCTGTATGCGTACCGGAAGCACTGTGATTGGCCTGCTTGAACCGCTCCCCGGGTTTCACATTCACCCTCTGCATGCGTAATTGCACGTCAAGGCGGATAAATAAATGAAGTATAAATGCAGAAGTATAAATGAAAATCAACACATAGTCAATAGCGTAAGAGTAGAGGCTCCAGCGTAGGTCCGACGCAGAAGTATAAAGCCTTTACTGCTAGTGTTGCAGAGTGGGCGTGTTACAGATATGTGGTGTAATTTATTTAATTTTTTTTGTAATCAAAAATGAACAAAAAAAAATACATGTCTTAATTAATTGTATGTATTATGAATCATTAAACTTATACAACATTTTAAAAAAATGTTGTTGTTTTTTTGTTGTTTTTTTTTTTGGCAACAGGTTCCACGTAACTGGGTTACGTTAAACAATTTGTTCATGTAACTTCAACATCATGGAAAGTCATTTTAAGAGACCCAATTTAAGTAGTTTCAAAATTAATTTTTAAAGGCTTCCTGATATATTCAGGTATTTTTAATATTCATTCATGCAGTAATATTTCATTTATTTTAGTGACACATAATTAAATTGATAGACTATAGCTTTTTGCTAGCAGTAGAACATATTAGCATCTTAAATGCTAATATTTACATGCTCCTTCACCCATAAATTACATTTCTTTTATAAAAAAAACTTTTTTTGTCAAATAACTTGCTGCACAAAGAGCTTTACTTTTAAAATTTTACATTTACATTTCGATAAAACATGGAAGAAAAAAAATATTATTCCTTAAAAATATAAGTAAATATAAATATTATATAAATATAAATATAATTTGGATTAATGTTAGTATTTTTACATTGGGGCATATCTAAATTCTAAAATATCTAAAAATCAAACACTTGCATGTTCCAACAGGCACTCTTTCATGTGAATTGAACTGGACCTTTGTCTTCGTGAACTGGACTGCGAGAACTGAAACAAAATATAGACTATAAGATAAACCTTGAAATGTCTACTTTAAAACAAACTAATTTGAATCGAAAGCTAATACCTTCTGATTATCCCCTTTCTGTAGGCTGTGGTTATGGCTCTTCTCATTCAACACTGTGGGAAAAATATAATTCCCAGGTTCTAATTTTGCCTTAGAAAACCAGTAAAATCTTTTTTTTTTATGTGATTTATCTGGGTCGCCGTGAAAGCGGCATTTGTGTGCAGGCAAGCGGCCCGTGGTCCCGGCTTGTTTACTGCAAAATATAAACTGGAACAGTTTATTGGTGGAAGTCTGGCCGCGGCAAGACTTAAACACCTTCCTTTTCCTAGGAGGGCTAGGATGACTTTGAGGCCTCTGGCTTTATCTTAATCTTTTGTCAGGGCCCACGCGGAGGAGGGTGGCGGCGGAGAGAGAGCGTGGTCTTTAGTTCCGGGCTTGCATAAGATATTACGCAGTACGAGAGAACCTCTCATAAGAGAACTTTTGACACTATCATAATTTCGTCTGATGTAAAATTGTATTGCAATGGTCATTCATGTGGGTGAACATTTCAAACTAACAATCAAAGACTTCAGATTTTAGGCAAATATCAGAGGATTCTTTTAGGATTTGCACAATTGGTCTCTGATGGCCAAAACGTGACAATAAAATATTCACACAGTGTGTACCCGGCTTTAGTTGACAATTGCATTCCCTTTATGCATACTCATTTATACCCATAATGCACTCCGATTTCTGACATGAAGTTTTGACTTTTTAACCTTCAAAGAAATCAATTTTGGCCCATTGTATATTTACTGTATTATTATTACAGCATATTACAGGCACATTGGCCATGCATTATTATTATTTATTTTTTTATTTTTTTGAGGGGGTCAATGACTTATCCATACATCCTTCACAATTCATATGAATGGTCAGAATAATAAAAAAAAAAAACATACTTGAAAACTGACGTCAGACTAAAATGTTTACCTTAATGAGTATATGAAGAGTTCAGATGCAAAAGCCTCTAAATGCCATTTGAAATTTTCTTCTTTAATGATGAAACAAGTTTTTATCAAACTTGTATATTTAAGTTCAGTAATTTCACGTAAATAACAATTAATAGGTAATTATCATTGCCATTTAAGTGAAATTACTGAACTTAAATATAAAAGTTTGATAAAAATCATCATTAAAGAAGAAAATTTCAAATGGCACTTAGAGGCTTTTGCATCTGAACTCTTCATATAATTGATTAGTTCAGCTTTGTGGTGTATGAAGTATTTGGTATAAAGTCTTAGTCAATAAATAGATATCCACACAACAGTATACTGATGGTCAGAACAATCAATTACAAACTATAGACAGGCACTATGCTGCAGTGAAGGAATCATACAGACAGGAAACATACAACAAAACTGTAAAACATGACCTCAGATGACTACTTAACACAATTAAATGTGATTCCATGTGTAAAAATGTAAAAGGAGATGAGGGTTAATTTAACACTCTGATTCACCCCGTCTGGTAGTATTGAGCAGGAACAGATGCACTACAGTGATGACACACACACACACACACATTTATATAGACACCCAATCCAGCTGTGATCGTTTTTATTTCATTGCTTCCCCCAAAGGCCTCATGTCGTGATGATATAACAATGACATCAGGTGGGTATGGAAGCCCAGCTGTCCAATCCAGTGGACTAACGTCTGTTTCACACTTACTCAATTTGGAGTGTGTATGTGGTGCGAATTTTTTCCGTATCCATGTTGGCAGATTAGAGCTTTCCCACTGCAAGCGGATGTGGTCGGGCAATGCGCTCAAGGAACGATGCACGTACAGTGCAGCAATTGTTTCCTGTGCTACATACTCTGATGGGGTAAAAGTTGCACCCCTGGTGGGCAGGAGCTGCCTAAAATTTTCCCCATTGAAATTTTTCTAGTATTAAATTCTTACTATTCCTGGAAAAAGTTTGGCGCGCTCCTCCTCCCACAGCTTTTGTCACAGACCCATGAATGAGGAGTCATATGGTGCGGCCTATTGAGGAGAAGTGTCATATGAGTTTTACAAGGGATCAGGGGAACGGTGTTCGCCCCAGGGGCAAACAAACAGCTGGAAAATCCCGACTTAACATAGCATAACATAACTGATTTAGGGCCAGTTTTACATTTTTAACTAACACAGTAATGGTTGTACTGAGGCTGTGAGAGCTGATTTCTGCTCAGCGGACATTTGGCCATGCAGGTCAGGTGACCCTTGAGACAGTGTTGTAGTACTCGAGACTCGGACTCGTCTCGGACTCGGTCTCGAGACCATATTTTAATGGTCTTGGTCTTGTCATGGACTCGTGTGCATTTGGACTCGGAATTGACTCGTACTCGAACATTTTTTTTTTTTTTTAGGACTCGGACTTATTCCCGAGTCCACTCGTGTTCAATTCAAAATATTTTTCATGATTATTAATGTATGTTAATAAAATATATTTTTTAAATTGATTGACACGCCCAGTGATTGGTGATTTTCTAGTGCGCAACTGCGCATGACAAATTGTAATAAAATTACTTTTAACACCACCTACTATGTGGCCTTTTTACCCTAAACTGATCATATTTTTTAATCTCTAAGTAAATTCAGTAAAATAAAAAAAGGATTTCTCTAAGTAAAAGTAAATTAGGTAATTAACCCTCACTGGTCTCGGTCTCGACTCGGACTCGACCATCACTGGTCTCGGACTCGACTTGGACTCGACTCTCTATGGACTCGGTCTTGACTCGGACTCGACTCTCTCTGGTCTCGGTCTCGACTCGGACTCGAGTGAGGTGGTCTCGACTACAACACTGCCTTGAGATGAGTGCGCTGCCTGCTGCTGCGTGAAACAGGAGGACGGTCACAGTTACAGCAGCAACAATACAACACAGATAAAAACGCTGGAATCTGTAGATTGAGAGGTCTGGTATTTTAATGTTTAGTTATATCGTATTTCCCTCTGAATGTGTAGGAAAACTGAAAAAGTCGAACTACACTGTACTAGCTAGCTTAGCAGCCTGCAAACCAAGTTAAGAGTGCAGACAGTTGAAAAGGGCACACACGCAGATCTTAAACCTGCAGTAGGTAAAGAAAACTTTTTTTTTTTTTACATATTTTTTAAACTGTCATTATGTCCTAACAAAATACTATGAGACAGATCTGAATCTGTAAGAAAAAAATCAAGCTCTTCTGGCTCCTCCCAGTGGTCCTTTTGCCATTTTCAGAAACACACCACTCCCGGTCAGAAACAACCAATCAAAGCCAGGAGGAGTATCTTAGCAGTGTTTTAGCAGTGTCTCTAACAGAGGAGCGGAGGCATAAAGGAACGACGGCATAAAGGAGCGACCACAGTGGAGAAAGGAACAGGCCGGATTTTACATTGTGATTTTATGATCCGTTTTGGGTGTTGTCCGTGAGGGGCTTCTGGCTTATACTTAAATTTTGTATTTGTTTATTTATTATTAAAGTTGTTGAACGTTCGCCCGTTCCCACCTCCTTTGTCCCCATAACAACTGAAACCAGGGCCGGCTCTAGGTTATTTGGTGCCCAAGGCGAGAGTGCCAACTGTCTATTTCTGCAGATATATTAGGCTACTCTATATTTGTCATTCAAAAAGGAAAACCGACGCTGTCGGCCGGCTGCAGATACACATAACGTAAACAAAGCAGCGCTTGCCAACCATTTTGAATATACGCGGGCATCCCCTTGTCAACATGTCGGGCGAAACAAAGCCGACGAGGACTATTTTGAGCCGAAGGCCAAAACTGTGCGTATCACACCGAGGAAACTAAAGCGCTAAAACCAGCTGTCAGATGTTTTCGTGCCACTCCCGGTTGCTGAGCAACACGCGTGAGTTTGACAGCTGCCTGTCGGAGTCAGTCGTTTTTTTAGGATTGTATAATCTTGTAAAAGAAATGGACAAATACAAGCAGTGTGTGGACAATGCACAGTAAAAGTGTACAGCGTGTGCGCAGCTTTCATCATACGATACATACATTTAATTAACTTTTTTTTTCAATTCTGCAATTTGCGCCCCGTCCAGCAGATGGCGCCCCAGGCGGCCGCCTGTGTCGCCTGTCGGCAAAGCCGGCCCTGACTGAAACCCGTTACAAATGTACAAGCAAACCTTATCAAGCATTATTTGAATTATATCACATAAGTTACGTGATCGTTATATTATCTTACTAGCTATTTAAAAATTCTAGAAAGGGTGCAACGTTATAAATTTACATTACATGTATTACAAAATACGTAATGATTTGTGGACCAATAGCCTGGTTAAAACCAGACCATTCTCAGTTGTAACTGTCTGGCAAAGCATCATAGACAAGTCATTTCCAGAGGGGAGTCACCACCGGACGTCGCGAATAGACCTAAAACCAATCAGAGCGATGAAGGAGATGGCGTATGCAGAGTGGCGGTCAGCGGAGAAACATCTCCAAAGTGTTGTTGTTTGCTCGATAAAGAACAAGAAAACATTCAAATTGCTTAAAACAGACGCGATAGCTGATTTGAACGAGTGATGTCCGACGGTGGCATCCATCTTTGTAATAATGTAGGCTACAAAATCTGCTTCAAAATCCCAGCGCTGTCGTCATCATGTAAAGCCCGCCCCAATGTTTCTGATTGTTGCCCCGATTTCGACGGATTGGGCTTGAATGTGCTCTTTGCCAGACTAACTTTCAGAGCAAATCTAAATTTGCCAGAAGTTGTCTGGGTTTTCCCAGACTAGTCGACCAAGTTTGTAGTCAAAATATGGGCAGGCCATAGTCAATATAAAGCATATTGTTGATGTTTAGTCCGTACTAGTGAATGTGCTGCAGTCATTGGTGTCCCTGTGCTTACTAGCCTGGATGTTCACGGCAGGCTCCACTGTGGGGGAGGAGCTGTGGAGGGATGGCTGTAGCGCAGCAGGCAGCAAGGGTTAGGACCTGTAAGTTGTGCTTGTTAAAACTTTTAGGCTAAGGGCGTTTTCACACCTGAAAGTCTGCACCAAGGTCCGAACCAAAATTCACGTTTTGATACATTTTATACTTTCAGAAGGAAAAGCAGTTTTGGTTTGGTTTTACACTGTGAGCACACTAAAGAACTTTACACGACATACTTGCGTCCTGTCGTCATCATCTATGTGGGCTGCATCTTGACATTGATTGGTTTAGTAAATGGACATGCGTCTGACGTGTGCGTGTTGTCAATTCGGCGGCTAACTTTGACAACATGAATGAACAGACGCATATCGTTGCAACTATATTGTTATTTTTTATGGCATAATTAAAAACCTGCAGCAACAACTATACACAAGGCTAGTTCAAATTCGCTTTATCGTGCGAACATTTATTGTCACCGAAAGGAAAGGAAGAGAAGACTGGAAGTTGACTTCTTATTATGTCATCAGACCATCCGTCAATTAAAAACCTTGGGCTAACCCAACACTACACCACAACTTTTGCATTCAGCGAAGTTTGTCATCCATAACTCCAAAGTCAGCCAGGAACCTTGGAGTTGTGATTGATGATCAATTGAACTTTACAGACCACATTGCTAGAACTGCCCGATCCTTCAGATTTACCTTATACAACATTAGGAGGATCAGGCCCTTCCTATCAGAGCATCCTACACAACTCCTTGTCCAATCACTAGCTCAATCCAGACTGGACTATTGCAATGCTCTCCTAGTAGGAGAAAACAACATTAGCGTCTGAAAAACTATTAAAGGTGCCAAATGTAACTTTCTTAAAATGATTACAATGATCCACTTGTAAAGGTTTTGCTACCTCTGAAGGCCAGTATTCCTATTTCTCTGTGAAGTCTCCGGGTCGGGTTTTCTGCAAAATCCATCAGATGTGACTTGCACAAATGTAATGTTATAATGGTACGAGCATGGAGCATTAGTTCAATGTCAAACTGATAAAACTAGTCTTTTATTGTAACATTGCAGTGGGAGTTTACATGAGTTTCCAGCATGTTGGGTGATGTTTTCTCTGGTGTGTTAAAAGTCTCAGTGTGGCCGGCATGTACCATAAGTGTTTGCTTTTGTGTTCGAGCACGAGCAAGAGCACAAGCGCTCTTGTAAAAATTGGTTGCAATCTGAAACATCACCAATAGATGCCGCTAAAACATACATATAGCACCTTTAAAACTACATTTCGTGACACAATAACAGTAGTATTTTAAAATTTTTCGGCTTGTCTCGTCTGTGCGCGAAAGCACCAAAGTGACTGAAGGATTGCCGTAAAGCAGGTCTCTGGTCATACAATGTGTATAAAGTCTTTTAAAATGTCAATGATGTCAAAGCAAATAAGTGACTCTAAAAAAATCTAACACCCAGTAATTTCTTTCCATCTCCTTCTGAATACAACATTCAAATGACAAAAAAATTATATCCTGAGAAAAGTCGATTTTTAGGGGTATAGCTGCATAGACCTCCATTCATTCTGCACGCATCCTGTGAACGCCTTCATATGGACACAGAGTGGAACTGGAACCAGTTCAGAACCCAGAACATACGTTACACCAAGAGGGTAGCAGGATAACTTTAAGTATTTAAATTAAGACAATATTAACATATCCAAAGAATTTAACACTAATCTTAATTAAAATGTATGTATGTATATATACATATATATATATATATATATATATATATATATATATATATATTTAAATCAATTCATAGTTATTTTATTTAACACATCAATACTCACAGTTTGTTAATAAAAGAAAAGTTTGAAAAAAAGCAGCTTTGTCATTTTTCATTACTGCAGAAATGCCAGAATGTCATTCTATGTCATTTGTTCTTTTCAGAGTGCATCATTAATGCCTTAGCTAAGGGACAAGGTGATATTACCATGACATTACCTGTCAACCGCTATGGCAACCAAGGTGAAAACTGAGGCCGAGACTGATATGCCCTGGACCATACCGCTCATTTTGCAGACCATGCTCCCAAATGGCCAACCTGTGGAGAAGAGTGAGATCACATACTAAGAGATTCTGGCTAAATTATACAGGCATATACATATTAATTGGATAACATTAATATCTGCAAAAATGATTGTAAATGGTGTCCAATATGCACTGCTGAACTTTCATAGCATTTTCAATGATGCAGTTTATGTGTCATTTGACATGCATCTATCTGGCACGCATTGAGTCACCCAAGCACCTGTGGGACTATATTTCATGTACAGTGGATGGTATTTTGTTGATTGACAAATTGCCACTTTATTTAGGAAAATCAGAAATACAGATAATTTAGAAATCCATTTTTGACTGAGATAATGATTAACATTCTGTGTGGAAACTATGACTGATTGAAAAACCTTATAAACCTAAAACAATAATCTAATTCATGGTTAACATTACTGAATATCATTTCAATTTATTTGGCAAGTTTTGACTTTTAAATTGACTGTGGTTTTGTTGTGTGCCAGAACAGCAAGATGCCTTTAATCTTGCCTCAATATACAGCATGTGGGTCAGTTGCTGCAATCACACTTACCATCTGTTGGGATTTGATGTATTTTGTGTATGATTGGAAGAGGTGAATTTGGCTTAGGGAAAGGCTTAACTATATTTCCCCTGTGGGGGTGGGGAGTGTGTAGAAATAACACATTTGTATTTTATAGTGACCGTTCAAACAGGCTATTTATTCATTAGATACTAGTTCTTATTTATTAGATATTAGTACCTATTAAAAGACACTAGTACGTATTCATTAGATTATAGTGCCTATTAAATTGGTACTAGTACTTGGTCATTAGATGCTAGTATTATTTGTTAGATACTAGTGTAGAATTTATTCCAAATTTTCTGTATCTGTAAAAAAAAATCTAGTAAAAAATAAGGGTAACACTTTATTTGAAGGGGTGTGCATAAGACTTTAAACAATGTCAACTTTGCATTAAAAGTGTCAGTAGGCGCGTTTCCATTACAGATTTGCGCAAAAAAATTGCGATATTTTCCAAATTTCGATAAAAAACTATTGCAAAATGACGGTGTTTCCATTGACCGATATTATACGACTAAAACGCCTTTTTTTAATCTTGCGATAAGTCATTCCAAAAATCAACGGACTTTGGTAGGTTTATAACTTATTTCACAGCCATGCACCGCACTGGACATTATTATTATTATTAATGGAAGGAGACATGATGTGTTATCCAAGCATTAATAACAGGGAAACATACAGAGTTCCTGGTGTTTCTCCCTTATTTCTGCTTCGATGTCTTCATGGCATTTCTTTGAGGTTTAGAGAGGCTATTCCTGTGATTATTGTTTCTTTTTTTAAATGAATTTAATAAAGAACCCTATCTCGTATTATGTCCAAACGTCGTTGCAAAACGAAAAATGAACGGTTGTTGTATTTTTAAAACGCAAAGTTGAACACCATCATTTTAGTTTGACCACACCAATTCTGCGCTACTGTATATAGACTAGGCTACATCTCAATGAAATTTCAGATATTTGTCAGCCCATTCTCACCCCCAAGGCGTCACCTAACTGACTTAGATGACGCCCTAGGATCGCGTGTACCCTACCCCCACCCCAGACCTAAACCTAACCGCGTCCTCTAACTGATGCTTTCCTTTAGCGTCAGTTAGATGACGCCGTAGGATCGTCAAAACGTCAAATATTGAAGCATGGTCAAAGGTGACGCCTTGGGGTGAGAATGCGTTGTATTTGTTTATGAGTTTTTGCTCCCTTTAAAACATTTAAAATATTCACAAATTAATATGGGGGAAAAAAAATGTAAATTTCACTGGTGTTCTAAGGCCAAATTAGAACATGGATAGGCTATTTATGATATTTTTCCCGCAGTGCTTTATAGGTGAGTTATTATAAATGCGTCTGAAAAAATAATGAGCTAAAAACATAATCTCCGGATGCACATTTAGGGAGAACTGCACCTTTCATACGGATTACATAATCAGAAGGTATTAGTTTACGTTTTGGAATTTGTTCTTTTTAAAGTGGACATTTAAAGCTTTAGTCTATAAAGGCTATTGGTTCAGTTCTCGCGCTCCAGTTCACGAAGATCATAAAGCGCGCCTGATTGTTTTATGTTATTTTACAAAAGAACAATGTTTTCTTGTTATTGTGACATTACGCAAATAAAAGTAGTTACGAATAATGTATTATTATTTTCTTTATAACCAGAAATCATTTTCTTTTATTTATTTATTTTAAGTTGATTCCACTGTTGATGGGAAAATGAAAGTGTTCACGGCACGCCCGCGTCTGTCTGCCATCCAGTTCGTGCTCCAAACTCCGCACACACTCTTGGATATTGGTCAAAATTGAGTGTTTATTTGTGATAATCTTAGCCCTATTATTGTCCAACCTGTACTATGAATGAGATGTGACGAATTGCTTTGTTGCTTTTTTGGATAAAAGCGTCTTCTAGGCTACATATGTAGCCTAATAAATGTTATAATAGGCTAATGATGATCATTATTATTTGCGGACACGGACCTAAAACACACTCCGTCTTCTAAGTCAGGTGACTGTAAATGCGCAAAATCCGTTTCCATTGCAGTTCTGCGAAAAAATCCTTTTTCGAATTGCCTGAAAAACCTCCTCATGCGAGCGTAAAAACTTTTTTGCGATAAACGTTTTTACGAAATTTACGTGTTTCCATTGAGCATATTTTCATTTCACAATTTCAATTTGCGCAAATTGAAGGGTAATGGAAACGCGGCTATTAAGTGTCATTCAGTAAATTATGACACTTTTAATGCAAAGTTGACTTTGTTTAAAATGTCTTTGTAAAGACAACTTGACATTAACAAAGACAAAAATGTCTTGATGACAACTTGACATTAACCAAGTCAAAAATGTCAAGTACAATGTTATCCACTTTACTTGAGGACAAGTAAAATATTCATGTCACAGTTATAATGGTGTCATGACCACCAAAGTTAAAACCAACCATAACAGATGACAGGGTAATATAATGTTAACACAAAGCTAAAGCTAAAAGTTTGATAATTAGACTTGTTATGACATACTTGTGACAGGTTGACAGGTTATGATTTCTTGGTTAATGTCACAATGTCATAACAAAGCCATTTTTGTCTTGGTTAATGTCAAGTTGTCCTAACAAAGACATTTTAAACAATGTCAACTTTGTATTAAAAGTGTCATAATTTACTGAATGACACTTCACAACATTCATAAAGACTCCTTCATGTTCATGACAGGTGTTATGTCAGTCTTATGCACACCCTTTCAAATAAAGTGTTACCAAAATAAGTACTAGTACCAAATGAATAACTACAAGTTTATAATATATGTTGGTCTAATAATCACAACTGTAATACACAATAGTCAGAAACAAATAGTTGATATCTGAATGACAGAACTCTATAGAAGACAATGGAAAAAAATAATAATTTTGTTACTATTAACAAAATAATAGTTACTAGTCACTATCGAAATAAGTTCTTGTATCTAATGAATACGTTCTAGTATCTAATTAATAAGTACTAGTACCAATTTAATAAGCACTAGAACTTAATAACTAAGTACTAGTAACCAATAAATACGCAAAAATAATGCATTAGCAAAAAAAAAAAAATAGAATTAACAAAAGTTCCCTTTCAAGGGAACTTCGAGCTGCGTCAAATGCTGTGGGAATGCCCCTGCGTTATGAAGCACGTATGGAATCAGACCAATGGAGAGACGGAATGTCATAGGCGGGTGACGTCATTGATCAGGAACCTATAAAACACCCCAAAAACACAAAAGCATCAGCTATATGCTATATGTGAATCTGTCTGAGTGTAAACAAGGTGTCTGTCTTTAGTATTTGCTAGGCAGGAGTTACCACATTTACACCACACAAACAATTTTGTATGAGAGACTATGGCATGCGAACAGCATTTAAGAAGTGTGCTATTTCCTGCTCGCGCTATCCAACAGGCGGGGATACACATGTTCTTTATGTTGTTTGTTTGGGAGTGCAGCATGCCCAGTCAGCCCTCGAGGTGGCTGGCTGCGAGCATCTGCCTTTATGGACGCTCCGCTCCCGCCGAGTGCTGAGGAGAGTGCTCAGTGCGCGCTTCCCGCGGTTCGAGTCCCGCTTCTGCAGCGGCGACGCTTATTGTGGGGATCGCAAATGGATCTTTCAGCAAGGTTTTAGATGGGCTCTGCCTTATCTCTGCCTTTACCTGTTAGATCCCGTGTCTCAGCCTCGGTTCGGAAGCATGCCCTCCGGTTTCTTCCACCTGGGCTGAGGCACCAGTACTGCAACTATCTAGTTATAAAAAACTGAGGAGATAAAAATAACAGTATTGACGAGGGAGGTGTGTAGGACTCGCCACCTCACACTCCCGAAAGTGAAGAGCTCATGGAGGTTCTCAAAACTAGCTGTATCAAAACTAAGCACTGAGTGGCCAGTGGTTAGACAGAAGTCTGTTATTAAATCTAAGTTAGATGAAAGATTTCTCCCTTACCGTGTGCAACGGCAGTGCTTGCCGTTTTTTCAAGATCTCCATACTGAGGTGTCGATTATGGAAGAAGCCGGCTTCTAATAGAATATTTGGCCCCAATCATCTAAGAAAAGACGACGCTTTGCCCCGTGTAGAAGAGACGCTTGCGAGCTATCTCTCTTCCGAGGCACCTTCCAAGCCATTATGAAATATTTCGGCTTTATAAAGTGTATTAGGCAGCAGGTCAGGCTGCGTCGGGTCTGCATCCAATGTCTATATTGCAGGCATACCATGCTGATTTGCCAAAGGATGTGAGTTTGAGTGATGGGGCAGTACTGACGTGGTTTGAGAACTGAGTCAGGCTGCCGATTTATGGTAAAATTATTTTTAACAACATGAAAGAGAAATAAAAAGCGTTCTACTAGATGCTCCTCTATCCCCTGTGGGGTTATTCAGTGACTTAGGTAATACTGTTGACAATTGCAGAAAAGCAGGCAGCAGCTTTTAAAAGGTTTCTTCTATTAAA